GACTACTCGGACATTAATCGAACGTTTGGCTACTCAGATATTACTCATAATACTCGACTATTCGGTTATCGTACGAATCCTTGGCCACATAGATGCTATTCGAATATTTGCCAGAATTCGAGTAGCCGACTAATCGTCTACTCATCGAATACGAGTAAATGGTGGAGAAATCTCGGCGTTATGCACTCGGCAGGGGTTGCTCGTGGAATGAACCGGTGTCTCGCGGTGCGGCTCGGTCCGTGTCTACGGTTCTGGCCGACAGAGCAGCCTGTTGCATCTTGGCACGTACTGACGTCATTTCCACCACCGTCGTCTACTCGCGGAGTGGGGTTCGCGCTGTGGAGTGAGTCAGGGGCGTTGATGATAGTGGGGCAAAAAGGGGAATATAACGCTCGGAGGGCGTGCTTGACAAAGGCGTGGTTACCGTGTCCCCACCCAACAATAAACAAGCGACTCTGACGTTAATTTGTTTGTTTTACCCTTCTACGGTCCTCTTTCACTTCTTCGGAGCACTTTCGGCTCTCCCTTTCCAGCTAGCGAGCCTGCCTTTCACCTGTCCCACTCGCACGGTTACCTGCGCAGATGACGGACCATGGCTCGAACCGCGAAAATCCATGGTTGAAACGTTTGCAACGAGACACGCTGTCGAACTTTGCTAATTTTTTCAAAGAATCCGTCGCGTTTTATGAATATTTCTCGTCGAATTCGCGGAGAACATCGCGGCGGAAGTTTCCGAAGAGCGGTAGGGGGAGTTTGAGGAGAAAAGTTGAGAAGCAGGACGCGTTCTTGCGATCTGGATCGCTTTTGCAGTTTCATCTTCTGCATGCTCGATGACGATGGAGTTTTATGGATTTCAGTTGATCTTCGTTAGATTACACTTTGGCACGTTAACGTTAACAATTCGCGGGAAGTATGTAGCCGAAGTTTCTGATGGACGGAGGGGGGACGTTTGGGGAGAAAAGTTGAGAAGCAGGACGCGTTTTCATATCTGAATATACCGTATCAACAACGCTTCGAAATTTTCAAATTTTTATTCATTAATTTTCAACTTGCATTGACGAGATCTGTACAGAAATTAGAAATTTAAAGTTTGATTTCTATGCATCGAATTTTGGTGTTGATTTCGTTACGTGTCTGAAAGATGCAGATGAAGTATATTAATAAAGAAGCAGGACGCGTTTTCATATCTGAATATTCCGTATCAACAACGCTTCAAAATTTTCAAATTTTTATTCATTAATTTTCAACTTGCATTGACGAGATCTGTACAGAAATTAGCAATTTAAAGTTTGATTTCTATGCATCGAATTTTGGTGTAGGTTTCGTTACGCGTCTGGAAGATGCAGGTGAAGTATATTAATAAAGTGGCAACTGCGTAAACTTATACCAAACATCAACGCAAGTGGTGTTATCGGAGAGATAGCGAAACGAGTGTATATTATTGTCGATTTAATTCTTTCCTGAAACATTTTGTCATCGGGTCGGTGACAGCGTCCCGTGGGCCACGATTTTCACGTTTACTCAAGTGGCTGGGAGTAATCAGTGAACAGATGCGCGGGACATGTGAATAACCGTGTCGTTGTCGATAATACTCGGTCTGGTTATTACGGAAAATAAGTAAACGTGGATATTAATCAGGAACATAGCATATTTACTAATTCGAATATCGATTTCTAGAGAGATATACACATAGAGCAATTCAATTTAGTTTTATATTAATTTATTAGAATACTTGTAGTTCATTTTGGAGCATATTTACTAAATCAAGTATAGATTTCTAGAGACACGTGTAAAGTAAATACACATACTTTTACGTTAATTTAATAGAATACTTGTAGTTAATTTTAAAACATATTTACTTCAATTCAAGAATTGTACATTAATTTATTAGAACAATTGTAGTTAATCTTGGAGCAAATTGGGTAGCCTATACTGTGCATCAGAACACGAAGAACAACTGAAAAGAATTTATTAATAATTCATGACGAAAATGATGTGAAATCTACAAACGTTAATTTTCTCAGAGAAATCCTAATTAAATAAAATTTAATATTAAGAAAGGCTCTGATCTTCGCTCTCTAATCCACGATATAAGACTGTGCTTCTATTTCGTTTAGCTCTAGAGAACTCGTTTATTAAAGTGTTACTTATAAACCTAACATGAGGACATTGACATAGTTCCTTTGACTCTGCTTGGTACATTTAGTGTTAACTTACGCTGAAGTTGGACATTTTTTTGTTAAATAACAAACGATAAACAGGCAGGTAGATAAAGTGTCATGATGCGCGAAGGAAACAGGAAACTACAGAGGACAGATTTTTGTTGGTCCGAAAGTCTATCGTGATTTCAATTGCCAGGTGCATGAAAAACAGAGAATGTGCAACTAATGATGGTTAACCGAAATATTATCTTGGCTCTGCGTAGATCCACCCTAGATATGAAATTTGTTAGAATCGATCTTAGTTGGGTGGCGGAGGGATGCTCGGAAACGGGGAACGACTTGACCTTGGCTGGATTCACGCGTAGCTGAGCTAACGCAAAATCGAAACGCGTTACTTCCACAGCGTGGATCTCCTAAAGCTGGGTTCACATCGCGACTTGGGGCTGACAGGATCCTCAAACGTGGCTCGAAGTGGTCGAAAAGTTGCTCGAAGAATCTCTCAACTATCTCAGCGAGTCTACGCGTTCTATAATTCTAGCAGAAGACGAGGAACACGTTAGATCCTTGTGGTTGGAGCCTCTTCAGCGATAGATTCGCGATAATTATTTTTCGGAGTTGTTACAGGAAGGAGAAGACGAGGTTGTGATTGCTAGACGAATTTGATTAGCAACTCTGATAGTTGATTCGGTAGTTTGTGAGAATGAAGTAACTGAAATATTACGAGATGGTGTATTTTCTATAGGAAATCGAATTCTCTACGAAAACAGACTTTTGTAAAAGTCCCGTAAGTCTAACCTGTACGAAGTTACGAATTAGTAAAGTTCAAGTTACACAAATTTGTCTGTTTCTCTGAATTTTTAATATATTTTTAAATTCTTATAATTTCAACTTTGCCAACTCATAACTTTGTACGAAGTAGACTAACGAAATTTTTACGAGAGTCCTTTTTTGTAGAGCATTCGATTTCCTGGAAGAACACACCACTGCTATATATTTTAAGTGGAAGGATTCGACTCTCGTGCGGTAGTACTAAAATATTAAGATACAGAGCTGAATTTTTTAAGAAAACTGATATTAGTTATTTCGGAACATTTAAGATTCTGGGAGCGTTCAAATTTGAAAGCCACCCTTTTAAGAACCACCCTAACGTGTATATGTATACATATTAATTATGTCCAAGTTTCCAAGGTAGGGTGTTCAACCACGCGTAGATTATACTAGCTAGTGCTTGACGTCCTTTGCCTTTGATACGTACAGCAATTAATTGATAGGTACTGGCTGCGAGCGAGAAGAATGTTACTAGCCACACCTACCATATTTGTCTCATTAACTTTAGAAGCACCATAGTCTAAATTAAAAGAAATAGTCTGAATTAAGAAAAATTTAAACGCATATTTGAATTTTGATGTACATTTATTGAATTATGTATGTACCATTTTGTTCCACAACCTTTCCACCTCTTAAGAGATGTACACATTTTATTTGTTTTCAGCCATTCTGATATATTCAGACCTGTATCGCCTACTAAAAATCGGCATGGACTTTCCAGACAGCCCAATAAATTCTATCTCAGCCTACATAAATATTCTGTTTGTTTCTGATGCTTCTGTCGAAGACTCATCCTCCACGTGCTGGTGAAAGATATCGCGGGCACGTTTTCTGGGAATCGTCGAGGATTGTTCGAAAAACGTCGGCACACTTGACCTTCACGGGTCGTTCGCTCTTGTTTGATCTAATTCGCGCGTAAGCAGCGAAGCGACCGGCTGTTACCTCGTTAACGATTGCGTCAAAGGTTCCACGGCACGGTCTCGCGGGTAATAGCGCACTTTCGGGGTCAGAGTACCCCGAGTAAGTGGTGCTTCCGAGAAAAACACGCCGCCAATAGCCGGATGGCGAATTTCCCCATCTGGGAAAATTACTTTTCTCCTGTATTCAGGATTTGCTCGATAATACAGCAAATACAGCGCTTCTACCCTTACGATAGTTACATTTTTCACGAGGATATTAGGTGCGATATTACAGCACCAGGGGTGCTTCCTAGCACTCGAATCCTTGTTTTGAGATTCGATTCTTTCTTCTTCTTCCTTCCACCATTTAAAGGTTTGCTAGTTGAAGGATCTGAGATCCTCGCTAACCGACTTCCTTTCAACTAGATCAAACTCTAAATAATAACATCTGTCTAACCAACAGATGTATTTCCTCCAATAATAATAAAAAATGCCATAAAGTTTCCCATAACCCTCTACAGCCTCAACGGCGACTCCAAACTTCCAACCCTTCGATTTTACGCAGGAATTCTATCTCGAATTCCACTCGACCACTTTTAAATTCCGTAGCAACCTTTGAAATTAAATTTTAATCGTTATCAGTTTACAACGATCGAACACCTGTTTGGACCTTGACGGTTCCCCGCATAGGCAAACTCTGGCACGGAACTAATTTACGATTCCTCGAGAGCGAAGTTACTTCGAAAGCTTCGTTAGCTGCGTCAATGATAAGTTTCGAGGACGAAAATTAATGCTCGGCCCGTCCAAGGGCTGTTTCGTGTGAAACGAGCTTGTTTCTTGGACGAGGGAGCGAGAGAACCTAAACGCGCGCTACTGACAGGGGTTGATGCAGTTATTCCTATCCCCCCCGCTCCCGGCCCGAATCGAGTAGCGCGGGGGCGGTCGTAGGGAGCCTGTGACAGAAGAAGAGAGGGTGAGTCACCCCCGTGGCCCCGTACTTTCGAGTGCATAGCACCCACAACCGATCCACGCGTGACTAGATACCGTTTTGCACAAAGGGGCCCGACGCAAATTATATTTTAATATATCCTCGCCGCTACTGTAGCGGCTTTCAAAGAAAAACGCGTGAATTTCTTGGCCGAATGGCAGGGTTTTCTGCTTGGACTGTGGCGGAGGGAAAGTGAAAAATAATTTAAATATGTGAACTTGGTAAGAATTGATTTTTTCCGGTAAGAACCTTATTTTTATACGGCACTGCTCTAATAACATATTTCCACGAGATTTTAATGTCTGCTATTTTATTGGTACTATGTGGAGTATCGTAATCGTCCGAGATATTATATCGATGCCTCGCGAACCTAATGCGAGCGAACAGCTAAGAGTCGTGGATTTCATTGATTACTTTTAGAATCATTTATTTAAGCGATAAAAATCCTGTTTATTATCTACAACTAGCCCTGTTTCCGAGTACAGCCTGAGTAGAGTATCCTAGCCGTTCAAAATACATCGATGCCTCGTAAAGGCATCCGCAACTAGCCCTGTTTCGGGCAACAGCCTAAACCAAGTATCGCAATTGTTCGAAATACATCGACGCCTCATACACCCGACACTCGCAAACAGTTACAACTTACAAACATCGTCAACCACAACTACGATAACTTGTACTTTCAACGGAAACCCTACTTTTACCTACACCTACCCCTATTCCACAACATCGGTCCAAATATAAAATTCTAAACACGGAGAGTACATCGATGTTTCCCAAACCCAACGACCACGTTACCCTTCCTTCCATATTAACGACAAACGATAAACATTACGCGACCTCCACCCCCTCGTCGATCACAATCGATGTCAGATGAAGAAGCGAGAAGTCGTCTCTCTAATAAAAATTAAAAAAAAAAAATAGAATAAAAAATAGTTGCAGACGGGAGACACTGTACCGCGTAAGCAGTCGGTCTCCATCTGGCGCGAACTTATCGCAAGGTATCCTTTTTCTGTCGTTGCGCGTCTGGCCGCGCATGCGCCGGGACGGTGCAACACGCGCCCTCCGATGAGCCTTCCGCACGGTTGAGCATTTCCACCATTCAGAATCGATGATGTCACGAAGCGGAGCCAGCATCCCCACCGGCCGCAGCGGCCAAGGGTGGTGGTGGTAACGTTGCCCTCCGCCCATTGGTCCGACGTACGTCGAGGTACCAACGCGAATCGCGGGGTCGCAAGCGCGACCCAACGAGAGTCCGCAAGTCGGTGCGTGCCAGTCCGTGCGTGTGCTTTACCTAATAATATTTCCACGGCCAGGAGTGCCCGCTAGTGCCCGCTTCTCTCGCGTCTCGCCACCGATTTCATCCCTCTCGCTCGTCCTTAACTTTGCCCCGTCTCTCTTGCTCTCTTTAACTCTCCCTCTCTCTCTCTCTCTCCCTCTCTCTCTCTCTCACTCTAACTAAAACGCACACACCGTCTCGATCCTACGTGGACCACTCTCGGAGAGCCAAGAAAGCAGAAGATTCACGCTGCAGAGCAGCACGTGTGCTGCGCTCGTGCGGATCGTACAAGCCACCCCCACCCTACCTGCGTTTACCGCCGCGGAACGAAACGCGTTTCACGTCCTACGTGGGCCCGTACCGAGCAATTACTCGCGATAACTAATCGCGTGCTGTTCGTTTCACGCCGCGGCTCTCCGCTTCGTATTGGTTCGGTTCGCAGAAGGAAGTGCTTAGAAGATTCCACCGAGCCGAGTAACGCGTTCGTTCGCCATCGATCCGTGATCGTTTCACGTTCGGTTGTTCGACGTTCGTCGACCCGGTCGAGTCGTGACGACGTTTCATCGGTGTTCAGTGTTGGGACGCGCCAGTGACCGTCACGTCGTTGTCGCGTTCGCTCGTGAAAACTGTGGGAAAAGTACGCGGTGTGACGGTACCACGTTCTCCACGGATTCGTCGTGGTGCTTTCTGCGGGAGCCGATCGGAGGAGCAGCGTCGGCCGACGGCAGCTTTTGGTACGTAGTCACGTGGCTTGCTACCCTTGTTACGGCCGCCTTAACGCGTTGACCGCCGGTACACTGGCACACGGAGTTCTTCTTGAAAAAAATTGGTTTCGACGGTGAGCTGACATGATAACGAAATAATGGTAAATCCGTGGAGGATTCACGTGAAATTCGGATTGCGAGTACGAGTACCATGATACATTGGTATCGTCATTTTCGAGTGTCAAATCAAAGGAGATAAATTGTGTCGAATTTTCAAGAGTATCGTTTGGCAGTCAACGTGTTAAGATGAATCCGGATAGAGCATGTTTTCTTGCGTGATCTTTTGCCTAACGTTGAGACGACTCGACTGCTTTAACGAGTGCTTCCGTGTTTTTGTTTAATATAATTAATCAGAAAACCAACGAATCGTAACGCAATTCTGTATCCCGTTCAGTTTAGAAGCTGTATTGACTTCAAATTTCGTGACAACGTATTTATAACGAATGTAATTTACGAACTAAACGTAACAGAGAATTGCGATTTATGGCATTGTTTCTTTGATAAATTATATTAACTGTTCGAAACCCACGGTCAATCCTCGGCTCCTATGCGAAGGGTTAACGCTGCGATACTTTATAATATACGCAACAACACTTTATAATACTTGGTACAGCCCTCGCCTGTTCTAATGTTATAGATATTTTATCGATAAATTGAACATTTCGATAAAGTGTAGTATTCTAATTGCAGGAAGTAATGTTTGGAGAAAGATCCAGTAAATAAAAATGAGTGGATTGCGATGTAAACATCCAAAATGGTTCATCTTTATTCCGTAACTCATTCGTGCACCTTTTTCGTTTTCTTCGCCATCTCTGCCAAATAATCGGACATTTCATGTGCAATAACTTAATACAAGTAATACTGTCTGTCAAGTGTAAATGGTATCAGCACTTCGAAATCAACCCTTACTTCACGACACCTCCCAAACATTGCCCCTCCTAGAATTGTTATTGTTAATAAGAAAATATGGTTGGCAGGAGAGTCCCGATAATTGTCCAAGGATTAAACATGTTATAGGGAGCTCTTTTGCAAGATTCTTTGTGACGTATTCATACTTTACTGTATGGTTATAAGAAGTAAATATTTCGTGGCTGTGTGTATGTTTAATTCGTTAATTTATGTAGTGAGAGAAGTATCGAGAGATTAACATTAAAAATAATAAACTTTAATTTACGAAAGTTCTCCTCTAAAAATATGTAAGAATGTTGGTTAATTATTTATTTCCCTAAAATTGATTAATAAAGTAAATATATGAAGTTTTATTTTGAATTGATTCCTTCATGAATACTTATTACACTGATTGTATATGAAAATAAAAGCCCTGACTTATTGACTCATCAACGTCCAGGTTAAACCCTTGAACCTAGAAAGCTGCAATTTCGCACGGAGGTGTCGTTTATGATGTATACAAGGAATAAGAGAGAATATTCCGAAATTCAACCCCCTAAGAGGGTAAAAACGGGTTGCAACGTTTGTACGAGGAATATTCTGTTTGGTCTTAATGCTCTTTGATATAATTAATCAAACACCTATTTCGCCGTTTTAAAAAATTCAACCTCTGGGGTGAAAAAAGTTGTAAAAGTTGCAAAGTTTGTATGTGACATGTTTTCGTTCCTGGTCTGATTTACTTTATACTCGGTCTTAATATGCTCGTTGATACAAGTATTTTGCTTTAAAGTTGTCTTATTTCCGTAAACACATCCAAAAATTTCAAATTTACCACGTAATATAGAATAAGAATAGCTAGGTGGAAATAAAATCTGCTTGTCTGAATTTTTTATTCGAAAGTGAATCGAGTATTGCTTTCGCAAGTGTAAAGTCTCCTCTATTATCTGTACCATAATCTCACTACTCATCATCCGACGATCAAACGCGCCACTTTGCATTAACTCTCAACTTTTCCTAGCTAGTAACGTTAATCTCGATATAAAATACAAGTAATGCTGTCATTTATCAAGTTAAAAATTATCAGCACTTCGAAATCAACCCTTGCTCCATGCTACCTCCCAAAAATAGTTCCCTCCCTATATGTCTTGTACCATAATCTCGCTACACGTCATCCGACGACCAAGTGCGCCAGTTTTCGCCAGCCCTCAACCCTCCTCGCCTTTCCCAAATCAGACGAAACGAGCCGCGAGTCGCTGGAAGCGCTAATAGCGAGCGCGTCGAGCCACCCATTCCTATAATCGGTTTTTAGAAACGAACCTCGCGACGGTAAATACACATCGTTACGAAAGGAGCTCTCAGCCCCCCTCCGGCCCCTCCGTCCATTGGAGAGCTTGTCTTCCCGCTTAATAGTCAGTATCAGCAGCGAACGCGAATACACGATGTGCGAGGATGCAGATTGCATACACGTAGCGCATAATACAGCTTAAGGGACAATGCACCCTCTATACGCGCGCTATATCGGAGATGAATGTGATTGAACGGCACGTTGAGTTTCACTGTCTCTGTTTCGCCGTTTCGCCCCCGTGCTCGCGACGATGAGCGCACCCCCGAGCGCGAGTCGCTCATCCCCCCGATTCGCGGACTCGCTCTGTCTCTGTCCCCCGCCGCTTCCCGCGCACGGTATTATGGTGTAATTAGGCAATAGACTGTACGACTCGCCGTGTAAAATCCGTGAAGTGAATGAGTCCCCGTATCCGTCGTCGACGGGCTGAATGCCCGCTCGTACAAGTGTGGACGCCCCGCGGTGACATTCGACGCGCGCATTGTGAACGTGCCTTTCCTCGTCGAGAGGGTTCGTTGTTCGAGCCCCGGGACTCCTCTGATCCGAGTAGTTTCTCGGTTTCGGTGCCCGAGAACTCGGTTCCGTGGCTCGGTTTCGTATCGCGGAGTTGCCGATCGTTCGCCGGAGACTGTCCAGGTGTTTGATGGGGTTCGATGGGAACGCCGCGTCTCGTCGGAACCGAGAATTTCACCGTGAGCTTGGTTTATTTAAGGGTGCTTGGGAGACGTATCAAAGTAGTCGGTGTTTGTTAAAAATCGACGCCAAAATTAATGACGAATCTGTACTTAAATATTTGGCCATTAGTCATACTCACTTACAAACAATTTTTATTTGATGTTCACTATATGATTAGTATCATTATTGATACGAACAGTCTTAAACGAGGTGATCTTACACAAGAAAACACCCAAAGTGATGGTAAAGTAAACGTTTTGATGGACGCGATCGCTAATTACTCGGTGTGGGGACGCTATAAGGGCGGAAGTTGCGATTTAGCTCCCAGAACCTTGGAATTGCGTTAACGTAAATCGTTTCACACGCCTCGAGAGGCTTTGCTAAGATCTACAATCGTTTAACAGCCAGTTAACTGCGAGTATTATTCACGTGTCGTTAAGCACTCTTGGATTGCGCGAATGTTAAATATACACACATGCGCGCGTGAACGTTGATCGATAGAACGTCTCCTAATTTTCTTTCGTGCACATAAACTGCCGCGAAAATGAATCAGGGTAGCTTTGTCGCATCTTTAGTTCTGCCGTCCATGTGATGTCAGACATGATGTCGGATATGACGTCAGATATGGATACATCGTGAAATTGTGTTTTCTGACTTATCCATTTTTTCATTGCTAATTCGTGATGCGTTATTTGTTGCAATGTATATTACAAAAATCTTTAGTAGAGGATGTAGAGTCAGAATTAACGGACCGGAACAATGCGTTTTTGAACTACAACATTTTCAGAAAGATGGCATTATGCTTCCAGAGAAATGAAGAAAGATAATAGAGTAAAATGGATTGTACAGGGTGTCCCTGTACGACTGAGACGATTCTGAACTACAATTTCCTTTGCAAAAATTGTCGTATAGTGCCTCGTTTTTGAATTATTAACGAAAAACCACGGACCAATCACAGCGCCCGAATAGCGCGCGCTGAACCGCGAGAGCATAGCCTCGAGCCAGGATTGGCTGGCTACGTGCCGTCTGAGGGCGCACTGCTCGAGCGCTGTGATTGGTCCGTGGTTTTTCGTTAATAATTCAAAAACGAAGCACCATTCGACATTTCTGCAAAGGAAATTGTAGTTCAGAATCGTCTCGGCTACGTCCCATTTCCGGTTCTTACACTAATTCTGGGACGCCCTGTATATAACTCAGTAACGTAACATGAAACATAAAATATTGTCCACGTATTACACACTGATAAAATAAAAGAGACTTTTGGAACAACCTAATATATCCTCCAATAGCTCTGAAACATTGCAAAGCAACCACGATACATCGATCGGTCCTTGTTGTGATTCAAAGTGTGATCGACGAGTTCGACTAAAGTCCTACGGGCAAAGTTCCCGTCAGGATAATTCGCGCCACGGTTCTGCAACCCTTCAAGTTCTTTAACGCGCTGGTAACAACGCGAAACAGTACGAGAGGTTGGTATTATACACGCGGATGGTAATAGGTTCCATATCCACCAGCAACCGGCGCATTATGCTTTACATTTCCGGCGAAACACTGTTAATGGCACCGCCACCACCACCGCCGTCGTCATCGCCGCCGTCGCACTCTAAATCCACCCCCGTAATACAAGGCCAAAACCCGCAGGAATTAACTGCTCGCTCGCGCTGCCGTACGCAGTCACTTCCGCAGCTATTCTATTTCGCTTACACGCATTAATTAATTATTTCATCAGAGGATACAAACGCCCGGCGTTTATCTGATCCGATGGGGCTGGGAAAGCGGTTCGTTAAAATTCAATCTCCACTTTTGTTCGCGGTACAACCGATATTGTTCCGTTTTCGTCCGGTTTGATAATGATGCGTCGACGATGTCGAGCTGGATTATCTATTAAATAGAATTTAACACTCTGCGGTTCGATATTTCGGAATTTAGTACATTTTTATAAGAAACGGAAAGTAATGGAAAGTAATCAGAAAAAAAGCTATTCATCGAAGACTGTAAAAGAAGCTGATAGAATGGAATTTTTGCAAAGATATAGGACGACATTTGAATGACAGAAACACCTCCGTGTTTTATAGCGAACACAATCGTTTCCGTGTGAGATTTTTACGTCAACAATGTTTGGAGTTAATGCGACCGGATGAAGACAGAGCAGAGTTTGAGTATACTAAATCGACAGCTTGGCGTCTTGTAAACATAAGCCAGCGAAATCTTGTTTGCGCTCAGTCGCGCATAATCCGAGGTAATCCTCTTGCACAATATGCGAGTGCGATGTACTTTTCTCCCTTACTGCGACACTCTCTCCTTTTTTCTCTCATCGATCTGTTTCCCTCGCCCTTCCGCGCTTTCTATCGTTTCATTGCAGTCTCGTAAGTTATTCTCTCGAAACTGTGTTAATTAAAGTGTAGAGAACGAACCGAGGAACTTGATATTATTCTGTTAGGTTGTCCCGAAAGTTTCTTTCGTTTTATTAATAACTAATAGGTATATACGCAATATTTTATGTTTCGTGTTACATTACTGAATTGTGTACGATTCATTTCGCTTCGTTACTGTTACAGCATCAATGTCTAAGAAATTAGATTATCTATTTATATAAACACTGCCACAGGAAATAATTGAATGCAACTCGCGAAAGAAACTTTTGGCACAACCTAATAAATGTTAGGAGAATTAGGTGTAATTTGTTGTATTGAAACTCTTTTATTAACCTGTTGTAAAATTCAAGACAGATTAAGTTAGATCGATTTAATTCGTGTCGAGTTACATTGCCTTAATTCACGTTAGATTCGATTATCACAGATAGATTTAAGTTATCACAGATTTTCAATGTGACTTAAATATTCATGTTATCCAAGTATACATCGAACCTATTTACGTTAACAGTCTAAACGTATTGTAAAATCCAAGTTAGGTTTGTTCAGAGACATTTGAATGGAATCTTTAATATCATTCACCCTCGAATAATCTCTGTTCCTAAAGCATGAACAGTGTACCGCGAGTTTCAAGGACCGTCATGGTTGTTTTCGTACGTATCACGACGAAAAGAGTCGCGGCCTTTGATACGTCCCGTATTCACGCGATAACCGGTGTTAAATCATCAATTCACCTTGTACGCTTTGCAATCGGTTGAATAAACTGTTGTGTTGAACCGGTAGTCGCGTTTCGTTTCCCGTTCTACGAGCATTCATTCTCTTGTCCCATTGAGACAGCTCCCTCTGTCAACCATGCTCCGACACGCGAGGAGAAAAATAACGATTTCAGGATTTATTACGTCCTAATTAGATCATTACTGCAGCGTTTTCTCTTCTCGTGGCTCACGAAGCTATCGCAAGCTGGGCCATCCTCTGATACAGTCTGGATTTTTTCTTTCATAAATTACAATGTTTATGCAACTTCCGTATAAACTAGATTGTTTATACAACTATTGCACAAACTATCTCCATATAAACTATATTCTTCGGGAAATTCTCTAATAAACTACATTACTTCCATTTAAATTTCATTCTGTCTGTAAATAATGCAGTGCATAAACTACATTGATTCTACAACTTCCGTATAAACTATCTCGTTTATATATCGTTATAATCGCACTACGACCCAATTACTCCCAACGCTCAAGGGTCCCAACCTCCCCGTCCCCTCGCATCTGAAGACACCCAATTAAATCTCTGTTCTAAAACAAATTCAAACTTAATTCCGCCCCCGCGATCCGATACGTCGTTCCGCGTATGCAGCATTCGAGGTCGTTGAAAATCCGCGCCAGACGCGTATCTAACTTCCTTTGTAATCCGGCCGAGAGTTGACAGGTCTCGCATCGGGATCAATCCGTTCGTATGCTAATTATTACAACGAGCAGCGCTTTCCGGTCCCCTTCCCAGCGCGTTGCACGTTTCTCCTTCTCGCTTTTATTCTGCTACGCTGACAGGTTTAGTGGGCGTTACACGTGTAAGTAGTTTACATCGTCAGAGAGCGCGAGAACCCGGTAATTACGTCGCTCGAGAGCCGCCGGTGAACGTCACCGGGCGTTCAGAACGAGGCCTCGTGTATCTAAGCTTTTAAAAGGGATTTCGCCGTCCGCGGAGAAACGCCATTGTGCCCCTTAAAGCTCTCTCTCCCGGGAAGAAGCGATGCCGATTCTTTTGCTCAACAAGTCGTGCCCTTTCCAGAGCACGCGGAGCCTCGTTACGATGGAGCCAATTAGAACGCGGGGACACCTTTTCAATGTTACGGGGAGGGAAACATCGCGCCGACGTAATTACGATGTTTCCTGTCATTGAGCTCGATGAAAGTATATTAATTAAGCGTGATCGCGGCGCAGACCGAGGAGCAGACTTGCCGCGAGCTCTACGCAAAGTATGTGATGTACAGAGGACTCGGAACAACGAGAAACGATTTGCGGGGAGAAAAGATATATTGCAATTCTTTTTTAACCTATTCGCATCACACGGTAAAGTGGAAGGTTCGTTTTTATCAGCGACGTTATATTTGAACTCGACTGCTAAGTAAATTGCGCGCATATATATAATAATTACGTAAATAGGTTAAGAGGTTACACCACTTTGCCCACCTGAATTTTCAGGCTTTTTTCAAGAATCTTTGTTGCAAACGATAGCATTATATATAAGCGATAGCAGTGTTATATAAGCATTCAACTAGAAAATCACTTTTTATTTTGTTTTTCATTTTTCGGGGTAGACTTTTGAATCGAAGACCGTTGGGTCAGCCTTGCGTAAAGTTGAGTTTACACGAGTGTCGTTGGCTGCGATCTTGTTTCTCGAAGGTACTACGAAACCGATTTAGAAAAACTGTACGTGGTTCGACCACAGCTCTAGAAGAGTTTATCTCCTTTTTTAATTATACTGGCGTCACGTATTGATTTTGAACAAGGTCCACTTATATGCTAAACTAAAAGAACTAAGAAATTTAAATTTATGTGAGAAAAGTATCGTCAACAACTATTGTATACAAATCGGTAATTGACGAAGCAAAGACTGAAACGAAAATCACCTCGCTATAAGAATCTATCTGAAAGAATTTTCTCAAAATGTTACCATAACCTCTCTTTCCAATAATTATACTTTTGTAGGCACTCTGTGTGCGTGAATAATTTAAAACGAATATGTTAATTAACGAAGCAAATGCTACAACGAAAATCACCTCGCTATAAGACTCTATCTGAAAGAATTTTCTCAAAATGCTACCATAACCTCTCTTTCCAATAATTATACTTTGCAGGTACTCTGTGTGCGTGAATAATTTAAAAAGAAAGATGTATAAGCGCGAGCCACACTGTGTAGGAGATTTTCAAATGGGAAATTGGATTGTTTCAGTGACCGGAAGTGCCCAAAGGCCCGAAGATTCTGCCTTCGCAGCAGCTGGGCGCTGCGGTCGCTCCATGGCCGGGCGCCACCGGCCTCCTAGCCTCTGTCACCGCTGACGATATGGCACACAAAGGTAAATTTATGTGTCTTTCATCTGTTTTACGTTCCACGAACGATAAAATTGCAAATGGCCCGTGCAATGTACATCCCCGCCGCGGTAAAGCGCGAAATAGTGTCGAATTACGATGTCGCCAGTCGCTGTCGTCATCTCGGTTGAAGAACTTCCATCGGAGGTTCCAGTGAATAATTATAACACTCGACTGCTGTCGAAACTAGCTCCTGGCAATCATCAACCTTAAGGAATCACTGGCGTACTCGCCGTATATTGGTTGATTTTTGAGAAATAATTTATCGAATCGCAAATTTCTCTTTGTTGAATAGGTTAAGTAGTTGAAGCTGGTTTTCTAGATTCAAGAGGTTGGCAGAGCCCTTTCCATTGAGCTGATATACGTGTTTGAGGTGTAATATCATTAAATGTTATATAATACACCTCTGAACTTATTAAGAATCTATCTGTTCGAATTTAATGTAAAAGAAATGACTACTTCTCGGTCCTCCTGATATCATTGGTTCGATCGAAATATTGCCTCGAGATACCGACACCTCGAAAATCCAAGCGTAATAGTTCGTAATAGTTCGTATACATTCGATAGGCAGCGTGTGTCTATGGTTTCGATAAATGCACGGGCCAGGCGTTCGAAGCGAGGCCCGCGAAACTCGTGCGCGATGGAAATTACAAATTACAGCGGGCGCCGCGCGCTACGAACTCCGGGAATCCCCGTGAAGCCGAATCGAAACGTCCGAGAATCAAGAGGGAGACGTTCAGTTGATGGCTAAGGCGTTTAACCCCATTAGTCCTGAATGGAGGTTCGCCCCGTCTCCGTTCCACCCCTTCTGCCCCCGTGATGTCTGTCGCTCTTCCCAGTTCACCCTGTCGTTCGCTCTCCCGGTCGCTCGAGCTCTCTTAACACGAGGGTCCAAAGAGGATGAACAGACGACGTCTCAAGGCTTTCTAAAGTCGGCGGCTCCTGCCTGAAACTGGCTGCTCACTTCACGTATTGATTTCCATTCTCTTACGCCTTCCGACACTCGCCCTTTTCCGCGGCTCCTCTCGGTCCTTGCGCGAAATCATCCCCCTCTGGCCCGGACTCTGGACGAGGATGACGCGGAATCCGTCACCCTCCTCGCGCGATTAGACCCAACGAAAACTAGAAACTCGAGCATCGCTGGCTGGGGTTGCTCCGATGCCGCTTTGAGAGGTTGCAATTGAAATTTCGTGGTACTTTACGTGGTTCGAAGGAAGGATGTCGAAGATGGGGAACGTTCGAGTTGAAATTTTCTCTCGAGGCTATTAAAGATTACGCGTTTCGACACTCGTACTAATAAATACAAAATCCTTTGCCGGATATATTATCAAATGTCTGCACTTTAAGAAAATGTAGAAATAAAATCGATACATAGAAAGTTCTAGGCTAGAATACCCCCTTAATGCCATTTAAAAGAACTCCAAATTAAATCGATCGATTGCTGTTATTTTACAGAAGCTCGAGTATCGTGGCTCGTGTGAGATTCGTTCGTCTGTAAAGAGTGAATCTAGTAATACCACGGATTTCAATGTAGGTGGAGTCATACGATTTGAAAATAGAAAAAATTGTTGGCAATTTTAAAATGTGAGCGTCTCGGTATCCGAACGGTACATGTCTTTAAAATCTACCCACCTAATCGATTCCTCCGATTTCTGCAGTATTCATTTCGTCGTACCTATCGGTCGTCCCGGTATAAGAGGATTCTCCTTCGGTTGAGTAAAGTTAGCCGTGTTGTTTGCAATTCTGATTCCAGACGGTCTGGCTGTTCACAATAGACACGGTGATCGTTCTGTTAGACTCCAGCCTAACTCCAAATGGCCTAACTCCTTGCGTATCTCGTCGGGATGAGATTAACCATTTAAATTGACGTAAATATATAATTATACGGCAGCAATATTCTCAAACGTTTCTCTGACATTGTTTTTAGAACCCGAGTACTGACGATGAAAGAAGGTCGATAGTAAATAAATTTTCGTATCTCTTTCCCATTCTCCATTATTTAATCTAATAGGTATTAGATTAAATTGTTGTGGTTGTTTTAATTTTTTGTAGACTTCCAGAGGGAGTACATGTTCTGTTGCTTCAGTGGCTGTAAATGTAAGTCCTTCTAGATTATTTTGTTAATATTAGAGTATATATTTCAATAGTTTGGTTGCTTTCTTTAATTTGCCTTTGTGTTTGTGTTTTATCTTTCATTTCCAAGTTAGCCCTTTTTCGTTGATAGTGCTTTCACTTTTCTTAATATATCATTAACGTTTAGTTTGCGTTCTATTCGTACGATTTCAATTACATCGACAACAACGATGTCAAGTCCTTCTTCTAGGACTCGACAGACTTAACCCCTTAACAGACACAATCTCAACGAAGACAATTTAATTTTCTTCGCGCCTCCGTCAAAAAATGTATATAACACGAAGAGATTTGCAATTAAAAATTTCGATGGCAAAGTTGCTGCTCGTTCTGAACCATTAGTAAATTAATTAATGAATTTATAGAGTCCTCGTTTCGCGAGCGGCGCGGCCACGGCGAAAACTTGTCAAACTTCCGAAACTCACGGCCAGAAATTACAACCAAGTCTTCGTCGTTAGTCATGGAGTTACTTAACAGGATCCCCAGGTACTCCGTGAACACGAATGGTTCCAAAAACTTTACCAAATGCAATCTCGCGGATGTTTCGAACCAGTATCCATCGCAAGATAGTTATCAACGACGAAAGATGTCCGTAAGTCCCACTGCGAACGAAAGAATTAACCACGAATAATTACAATCGTTTTCGAGCCAGAACGAAAAAGGACACTGTGATCAGGTGTTTTTTAACCCATGAATCTTATTTCAGCAAAAATTCAAATTTCTCGACGCGCGACAATTGCCGAACTTCCCTTTTGAGGTAGCATTGGATGCTGAAATTACGAAATGCCGAATTATGAAACGTTACATAAATATCAATCACGAAACGATTCTGGCAGATCGAATGAACATCGTTACGAAAAGAAGAAATACTATTCAATTTAATTATATGTCCAAACAAGAAATATTGTTCGACACTAAAGGTACGAAAATAAAATATATTAAATTGAACTGTATGTCTAAACACTGCCAGTCGGTGAAGCGTTACCTAACAGTAATTCTTGCGTAGCAGGAATAAAAACGTCACGCGGAAACGCGTTTGCAATAATAGACGAAGGCTTGGCTATCTAGAAATAGGGAATAAGAAGGGCAACCTGATTTTTCTCCCGCGACGCGGGGGAACTGGGAACACGATTTGTATCTACGATCAATCAAAACCCTCGGTCTCTTGGCATCGTGGCCGTCGTCATTCCATCGGAGCGATTCGATGAGCTAACGCCAACTTAAACGCTACACACCCCAGTGAGCCGCACTCGGTCAGATAACTCGTGGATTTTCGAGCGTCGCGACTGATCCTCGCTCGCTCGCTCACTTGTAGATTCTTCGATGATTTCATTCTCGTCGACCATTTAACCTTCGTTTTTTCGTTTGTTCGCAAATTTGCTGAAGATTCGATACGTTATTAAAACCGATATTATAAACCCTTAACAAAAAAAAAAAAAATAACAATTATTGACAACGCGCCGTTATTGAGATACAATTAATTAAAATCTGAAACTGTATCTTTGCCACGATCATTTCTCGAGTATTACGAAAGTATTTGTATATACCCGTATTGATTTAGCATGGAAAGTCGGTGTCTCTACCTACTGTAAATTAGAACAGTTTTAATTGTAAAAGGCAGTAGTAGGTGGGGGGGGGCATGTAGACTTGATATGTAGACTAGATATGTAGACTAGATCTTTCGTTCGCAGTGGGACTTGGAGACATCTTTCGTCGTTGATAATTATCTTGCGATGGATACTGGTTCGTTACATCCGCGAGATTGCATTTGGTAAAGTTTTTGGAACCATTCGTGTTCACGGAGCACCTGGGCCACCCTGTTAAGTAACTCCATGACAAACGACGAAGACTTGGTTGTAATTTCTGGCCGAGAGTTTCGAAAGTTTGACAAGTTTTTCCCTTCGTCCGGTGACCAAGTCCACGTCAGGCGACTGGTCCACTTGGAATTAGGCGAGGCTACTATATCCCAGGTTCGCGGGAGAAATCACTCGGGGGCGACGCGTCATCGGGATCGCAACGAAAATCCCCGGAAGTTTGGGAAATCGTTCGACCTCCGGTTTCACCGCGAACAGTCGGCTGTCAACGCGGCGTCTCGACGACGAATCATCCCCTCCAGGCTGGCGCACCCCCAACGGAGCTTCTGGTGCTCGTAAGGGATCGACGATGGTGGCAGTTAAAGGAGAATGGAAGCGGCGGGGCGGCGGGAGGGCGAAATAAGAATAAGAAAGGATCGCTTGGCGCTACACGCTCTCCTTCTCCATCGCCATACTGTTCCTCTCTGTCTCCGTCTCGCTGTTCCTCCCTCTGTAACAGGGAATGGGGAACGAGTCGTGAAGGCGAAAAAAGGAGGCGAGGGGGGCCAGGAGGGGGTTCCTCGAAGCATTGATCGTTTCTGAATTCGGAATAGACGGTAGCCTCGCGAGGCGCGTCTTCGCATGGCTCCGTTCCCCGTTTGCGGAACGACGCGTTCAAGGGGGGTTCGTTCGATGCGTTTAACCCCGCGACGAGACCAAGGAGGAACGGAGACGCGAGAGGACAGGTGAAGGGAACAGCGTACGACCGAACGTTCGGTTTCGTTCTCAGCCGTCTGACCCATTCGCTGCTAGACGAATTTACAGGGTTTTCCCTTGGCCACATGGGCAATCCCTTGATACAGGTGTGAAAATCGAGGTTATTCGTGCTTAATAACAACCATAAAGACTGTATAAGGAGTCCTAAGAGCTCTTTCGCACGACGATACGCGTATGCAGGATACCGATGGTACATATAATGTTATGTAAGCGTTCAGACGGCGAATCTCGCGAGATACAGTTTCGCGATACTGATTTTCGGTATCAGCGGTTGGTCGGCCGCTGGC